AAAAAAAATCGACATATGTTCTCCCTCATATGTGGATCCTAGCACCAAATCCTTATAAGTGAGTATGTATCTAGACATAACTACAGGAACCAGGATAATGAACGAAACCTGAGAGGTAAAGAAAAAGAAAGAATCTGAAAGAGAATAATAGTAGGAAACAGGTGTTAATAAGGGAGATATGGACAAAAATGGGGTTATTTTAAGGGGAGGGGGAGGGAAGGTTATACAAGGAACCTAGGGGATAAAGGGAAAGAAGGAGTTCAAGAGAGGTAGGACCATAGAAGAGTATTATTAAGGGAGAAATGGGAACACCAGGGGCACCTTAAATGGGGAAACCAATGTGGAAGTGTTAGACAATGTGGGAAAGAAATAATGCCTAGCTAGTTTTAAAAAAAACAGAGGGAACCATATTAGTCCAACAACCTACTGACTAATTATACATACAACCAGATCAAAGAATGTAATATATGTGTAGGCAAGATTTATCTGAGAGTGTTTGGTCTTAGCCCAAGCTTTATCTACATGGCACATGGTAATCAAAAGTACTAGACTGGTGGAACTAACCTTCTTAGATATTTAACAGCCATACTATGAGGCCTATACTAATTTGGACAGAGGGACATGAAGGACAGTTTTTGCTCCTTTCCCTCCTAGGTCGACTAAGTTCCAGGGGACTATGAGAATCTCTCAAAATGTCCTGTAACTGTGGTGAGTCACTTGTCCTCTTGATCAAGGAGGCCATGGAAACCCAACCAGATGGACGTGAACCAGTTTCCAGTCTACAAAGAGGAGTGTCAACTCAGAAGAAACATTTCCTCTATGCTTCCAAGTGAATCCGGCCATGGTCAAGTAGGACCTTTGACTTATCTTCACATAGACGGAACTGGTAAAAGAATGGAGCCAGGGGTTACTCCCAAGCCCATGTTAGCCCTGAGGAACAGATCCTCAAACCACCTTAAGAGTAAAAATAAATTGGTTTATCTGAGCCAATTGTAGGGTCTTAAACACCCAAAAGGAAAGTGTAACCAAAGATTAATGGGGTCAACATAATTTTTAAGAGTCCACATGTATATCTAAAGGCTACAAAACAAGAAACAATGCCAGACAGGAGATACCGTCCTTTGAGTTATTGGCCAGGGTGGCCCAAAAGACTCTCAGACAGTAACCGAACATAAAACTGGTAAAATGAACAGTAGACCCCAATCTTATGTAAAGGAATATTGACAACTGATTGCTGCTAGATGAGGAACAGCTGATCTTCCTAAAACAAGGATCTCTAGATAGGCTTACTAGATTTAGTGGATGGATAAGCACTGGGGAACAGCTAGGGGCACCGACAACACAGTGGACAGTAACAGGGATAACAGAGTATATGGGCTCCAGTGTGTTTGTAGGGGGAAGGCTATGGGAGGGTGCCATTTGGGAAGTGGGTATATAGATGAATACGATTATTTGGGATGTTCTGTATGATATACACACAAAAAAATCAACAGATTTTTAAAAACTTATAATTGAGGAGGAAGCATAAAAATTTACTTCATGTTAATTAGTAGAGGTGATAAACATTACCATTGAAATCTACCTGATTACTTTATATCCATACTCATGTCCAAGGATTCAAGTGTAACTGACTGTGACTAGTAAAAATTAGATACATAGAAATTAAAGACACATGTGCAAACATCTAAGTGTTAGTAGCATTAAAAATGTAGGAAATAGCATATTTTAACATGAAATGGAGCTTTTCTTTAAAGGGTTAAAAACCCATTCAATTTTATATCTTACAGAGTTTTTACTGAGTTCAATATTGTATAACTGTATTAATTCCACTGTGAACCTAAAAATTTACAGCCACTTTTGAAAGAGATATATCCTTGCTCTGAAGTGTGTCACTGAATATGTTAAAGCTGTTGTAATGAAATGCTTCCTCTAATTAAAAAAAAATGCCAGAATGGTGGAACTGACCTTCTTGGATGTTTTATAAAAAAACCTTTAGATTTATATTA